AGAACCTTAAGTTGTTATTTTTGAAGTGTCTTAATTTTTTATTCAGACTGGCATGTCAAACAAAGTAACCAATTAAATACTACAAGTAAGTATGGTTGATATCAATGGTTCTTTGTTCTTGGAACAAGTGGGGAATGGCATTTCTTGAGGACTCAGTTATCTTTGTAAACTAATGAAGACACTAAATAAGGTAAATCAACTATTTACCTCTTTAGGAAATAGTTATTTTTCAAACCAAGTTACTCGTTTGCTTTCAGCCTCCGAAAAGCCCACCTGTTGAATACTAGATTATTCAGGAAGTTCTGAGGACAATATGAGTTGGTATTTATAAGGAGCATGTGAATTAAATTATTACAGATTTTTAAAGCTTACAGTTGTGGGACATAGGACCTGTGGAAGGGTAAAATATGTTAAAACCATTTAGGAAGCTATAAAGGGTGAAAATTGCTGTGGTCATGGGTTCCAAGTCTTAGCAGCACCATTTTTCAGCAAATTCTGAGGCTCGCTTTCTTCCTCTGCCCAGGAGTGAGAGAAAGAGTTGCAGTGCACAGAGATTATGGGTGTAGCTGGAAATCCACAGCACAGGGGGTATCAACGTACAGAGCTATCTGCTGAATCTGAATCTGAATCTGAATGAGACTGAAAAGAAAAGAATCATGGAAAGTAAATTTTTCTGTGCTAGATCAAGATGACTTTTACATCATTCAAGGTCTGACATAAACTATTGGATCAGAGTCTAATGCAGACAGCTTTATGAAGGTTTCTTGTTGCCTTAGCAGGAGGAATGAATGGCTTTGTTTCCCTTCTCTGAGTAAGAAAGAGAGAGACAACATCCCCAATAGGGTCTTGATGCCATGGTTGATCCCTAGTCTTCAGCCAGCCTGGGATTGGGGCACATATGTACCCTTGTATTCCAGGAGATCTCCAGGCTCGAACTGGGAACCTTACCATGTGGGATTGCCTCACAAAGCATCATGTTTTACCACTGTGATATCTGACTCCTGAAGAAATGGCTTTTTATTCATTTTATTATTTACCACTTCTTTTTATTATAAGAATATTAGTTCTTTACTATTATTATTACTATTTTTATATTACTATTTTTAGTATTACTTGCTCTCTTCAGTAATCATGAAGTCATTCAGAAGTAGGTTATTTAGTTCCCATGTATTTGTATTTTTGAGAGTTTTTCCTGAAATTAATATCAAATTCAATTTCAGCATGGTCAGAGAAGATGCTGAATATAGTTTCTATGCCTTTGAATCTGTAATGGCTGGTATGTGCCCTTTCGTGAGGTCAGTCTTCAAAAAAGTACCATGTGGGGCTGAGAAAAGTGTATATTTTGTGTTTTAGGGGTGGAAAGTTCCATAGATGTCTATCAAGTCCATCTGATTTATGGTATCATTTAAGTCCAGAATCTCTTTGCTTATTTTTTGTCTTATTGACCTGTCTAAAGGAGATAACAGGGTGTTGAGATCTCCAACAATTACTGTGTTACAGTCTATCTCTCCTTTTAGATCTAGCAGTCTTTCCTTTATATATTTGGGTGCTCCTCAGTTGGGTGTATAGATATTTATAAGCATTATATCTTCTTGATGAAGTAGCCCTTTTGCTACTATCTAATGCCCTTCTTTATCTCTTCTCAGGTTTTTGTCTTGACTTCCTCTGAAATCAGTATAGTGACTCCAGCTCTTTTTAGGTTTCCATTTGCATGGAATACCTTTTTCCAGCCCTTCACTTTCAGTCTGTCTATGTCTTTATCCATGAGATGTGTTTCTTGTAGGCAGCAGATGGAGGGTCTAATTTTTAGTCCATTGCGCCAGTCTGTGTCTCTTGATCAGAGAATTTAATCCATTAACATTCACTGTTGTTATCAATATTTCCAGACTTGTCCCTACCATTAAGTTGGCTATATACTCAGTCGCTTTTGTTATCTCATTGCTGTCTGTCTGTCTTCAGTTTTCTTGGTATGGTACTCCTTTCAGAATTTCTTCAAGAACTGGTCTGGAGTTGGTAAATTTTTTCAGGCTTTGTTTATCTGAGAACATTTTTATCTTCTTTTCCCATATGAAGGATAATCTTGCCGGGTAAAGTATTCTTGGCTGAAATTATTTTTCATTTAATGCTTTGACTATATTTCCCCATTCCTTCCTTGTTTGAATTGTATCTGTTGAGAGGTCTGGTGTTTGCCTGATAAGATAGCCTTTGTAAGTGATTTGTCATTTCTCTCTTGCCAGTCTTAGTATTTTGTCTTTGTCTGTGGTTTTGGACAATCCAGCTATGATATGTTGTGGAAAGGATCTTCTTGGATTGATTCTACTTGGAGTTTTTAGTATTTCTTGGGTCTGGATGTTTGAATGCCTCTCTAGACATGGAAAGCTTTCTTCCAGAATT